GTAGTCACAGGAACATATACAAAATATAAAATAACGTAGAACCCGTTATGTATTGAAATAGGATCGGATCTGGTATAGTGGTATACGTATATGTGCACGATCGACTTTCCTATAGGCATCGTGGCTTTCTCTTTCCATGGCGTCGTCGCAGCTGGCTCTGTCCCCAGGCGTCGTTGCGCGTGGCCTCTCCCTGCAGCCGCTGGTGTCCCTGTCGCCGGTGCCGCTGGATCGCCGTGTCCTCACCGCTCTACGCGACCTTGTCGACAGCTAGACACTTAGCCGAAAGCCACGTCTACATGAGTACGTCGACGCGAGTGACGAGTCGTCGAGTTCACACATCAATCAGGTGCTCTAGTTCAATCTATGTTTGACAAATTGCTCCCAAGTTCCTTTGTTAATCTTGATCTATCATCTATGGCAATTATATATTTAATCAATATTCAATTATCTTTACCTCCAATTTTTATTCTTCAGAGTGCATACGTGTAGTTAGGGCATTGTGTTATGAGAGTTGAGACTATTTATTAGGGGATAATCATTATATCAAGTTCTCAACTAGGTAATTTATTGAATTTTGATTTTAATGTTGAATCTAGTACAACATATTTTTTCATGTTCCTTTTTTAAGATAATATTTATAATTTGTTTGATAAAAATTCCCTTTCGATGCATTAAAGTTTATTTTTTATATTATATAGTAATATAGTAAAGGGCTCATTTTTTTAAGCTTCGCTCTAGGTCATCAGATTGACAGGACCGGGCCTGTATGCATGCATTATTGCAAGATCTTTCATCATTGCCTTTTCCCTATCTCTGATATAGTTTATAATGTCGTGATCCCTTCAATTAACGTGCTGCAGGAAAGCCTTGTGACATTTGGAAGATATAATTAATGGCACATGATGATGATTGTAGTTGGATGCTGTTGTCTCGGTCAACCGATGAGTGGCAAGCAGGACTTGAGAAATTTATTGATACTATTTTTGAAGGCACCTATGCATCAGAAACTGCACCATGTCCATGTTCAAGGTGTCGTGGAGTTGTGTACAAAACAAAATCCGAGGTTCAAATGGACTTGCTAACTAAAGGGTTTGATGAGAACTTTGTCAAAGAGAAAGGTAACGCTGGCATATTTTTGAATGATGATAGGGATCTGAATGTAGGCCCACCAGATGATGCATCATCCGCCAACAATCTGTTGTCCACATTAATTAGGGGTGCGACCAGTGGCAATACCAATCAAGAGCCTTGTGAGAGTGCAAAGAAATTCTTTGATTTGTTGAAAGATGCGCAACAAGAGTTGTGGCCAGGCTCACTGCTTACCAAGGTATCATTCTTGGTCAAGCTCTTTCAGCTTAAGTGCATGGGTGGATGGAGTAAGGAGAACGTAGAGCAAACACTTAGCCTATGGAGAGATACGCTCCCCCCAGGACATTGTATCCCAGACACTATCAAGAAAGCACAGAAGATTATCCGCGACCTTGGCCTCACATACATTAAGATCGATGCTTGTGTGAATGACTGCGTGTTATTTCGTGGGCCGTTGGCTGATATGGACACGTGTCCAACATGTGGTGAGAGTAGGTGGAATAAAGACGACACAAATTCTGATGAGATTGACGAGTCTAGCGAAAGTGGTGGAGCAAAGAAGCGCACTCCTTGCAAAGTTCTAAGGTATTTTCCACTTACTCCTCGATTGCAAAGATTATATATGTCAAAGGAAACATCATCATTGATGCGGTGGCACAAGGAAGAATTGGTTAGTGATGGGAAAATGCGGTATTCAGCAGACTCATTGGCGTGAAAGCACGTGAATGACAGGTATAAGTGGTTTGATTCTGATCCACGTAATGTTAGACTGGGACTTGCATCTGATGGCTTCAATCCGTTTGGGATGTTGAATGTTAATTACACTTGTTGGCCCGTGATACTGATTCCTTATAACCTACCTCCTTAGCTGTGTTTGAAACAACCTTATTGGATGATGTCGATGTTGATACCTGGGCCTAAATCTCCTGGAGTGAACATTGATGTATATTTGCAACCTCTGATCGATGAGCTACATGATCTATGGGTTAATGGAGTTTTAACATGGGATGAGAAGGAGAAGAAGAATTTTACTCTACATGCAATTCTGTTGTGGACAATTAATGATTTCCCCGCATATGCGATGTTATCTGGTTGGAGCACAAAAGGTAAGTTTGCTTGTCCTTATTGTCACAAGCATACTGATTACTTGTAGTTAAAACATGGCTCAAAGCATTGCTACTTGGGACATCGCCGATTTCTGCCCATGAACCATAAGTGGCCAAGGAACAAGACGAGCTTCAATAACAAGGCTGAAACTAGGGAAACTCCAGTGCCGCTCAGTGGTGACCAGGTGCTGTGGGACTATGAAAGTTTCCAGCAAGTGACTTTTGGAAAGGATACAAGGAAAAGGAAGCAACGTGACGAAGAAAATAGGTGGCACAACTGGAGGAAGAAGAGTATTTTCTTTCAGCTTCCTTACTAGAAATCATTGCTAGTACGACATAATTTGGATGTCATGCATATAGAGAAGAACATATGTGAGTGCTTACTAGGGACTTTGTTGGAGTTACAAGTTAAATGCAAGGACAGTGAGAAGGCTCGACTTGATATGCAACATTTGGGTATAAGGCCATATCAACTTCCAGTGCTCGAAAAGGGTAAGTACACCTTGCCACCAGCGCTGTACTCTCTAGGTAAGGATGACAAGGAAATTCTGTGCAAATTTTTACATGGCGTCAAGTTCCCTGATGGTTATGCCGCAAATATTCGGAGATGTGTGGACGTCAATGGTTGCAAGCTTTCTGGACTTAAAACTCATGACCTACACGTAATCTTGCAAAAACTTTTGCCTTTAGTGGTGCGCAACATATTGCCTGAAGATGTGGTGACCCCATTGATGGAGCTAAGTAGGTTCTTTAACTCACTGTGTTCAAAGGAGTTGGAGTTTTCAGAAATTGAAAAATTGAGCACTTCGATTAGGGAGACCCTTTGTCGGCTAGAGATGATTTTTCCACCGGCTTTTTTGATATTATGATGCACTTACCAGTTCATCTTGCTGACGAAGCTAGACTTGGAGGCCCGGTTTGTTATAGATGGATGTATCTAGTTGAGAGGTACCTTCGTACTCTTAAAGGCTATGTGAAGAACAAAGCGCGCCCTGAAGGTTCAATTGCAGAGGGGTATATATCTGAGGAGTGCCTCACATTTTGCTCTTGTTTTTTTGAAAATATTAGTACCAAGCTTAATCGTCCAGAGCGTCATGAAAGCGCCGCTGCTAGTGAACCACCATCTAGGCTAATTATATTTGGGAGCCTTGACTACAGTAGGAAAGGAAGTACTCTCGAGAAAGTTTCTGATATTGAAATGCATAGGATGAGGCATTACATATTAACCAACTGTGACGAGGTCACTCCATGGATAAAGTAAGCTATATTTTAAATTGTTTTTTTACGGTGGTCATGAATGTTTAAAATATATATGTAACTAATGAACGTATTTTCAATTGTTGTGGATAGTGAGCATATGGATGAGCTGAAGAAAATTAGCTCAAGGCATGTTGATAAAAGACACAAGGAGTTTGTATCATGGTTTGAGCGTAAAGTGAGTCGTCCCTAATATATTTATCCATATTTTATTTCTATAGTTTCCACATGCTTCTTGTAAATTTATTAGTCTGTAATAATAGCTAGCCACTTTGTCGGTTTATTAGTCCCTAATATATTTTTAAAATGATTAAATGTAGATTAGCACATTTCGTGCACAAGGGGAAATAGATGACATGATTTATTATCTATCTCGCGGTCCAGACCCTCGGGCTCATGTGTTCAACAGGTGTTTCATAAATGGCTTCCTTTTTCGGGTCTCTTCCATAGAGAACTGCTTAACTACTCAAAATAGTGGTGTATTCGTGAAGGGCGATGCAAATACAGGAAACATGGGCTAGTATGGTGTGCTGAAGAAAATCATTTGCCTTGATTTTCATGGTGACAAGGAAGTCATGTTGTTCCACTGTGTATGGTTTGATGTCCCTGCAGCTAGTAGTAGCAGATCGAGAGGGTACAATAAGGATAAATATGGGGCCATCGATATTGATATCACACGGTTTAGGTATTCAGATGAACCTTACATCCTGAGCACATAAGCCGAGCAAGTCTTTTATGCGAGAAACATAAAGAAAGCAGATTGGTGCACTGTCCTTAGAGTGCAGCCTAGAAATCTCTTTGCCATGCCTGAAGCAGAAGGCATTGACAATATGGGCGAGCTCGATCTGGACTCAGTTGTTGTAGGAATGGAAGATATGAATGTTCAACAACAAAATGAAGATGTCACAGCTTGGAATAGGTCTGGCCTTGATGGGGCTACTGTTGATGCTTCTGTTATTGAGCATGCTATTGCAATAGCCATGCCTGAACCTGAGCACGATGACCTGTTTGATGAAGACGAAGACCCAGATGACACTTACATTAATGACAGAGTCATCCCTCCATTTAGTACTCTGGGAGAAGATTCTGATGATGATTTTTTTGTCTAAATTTTTCTCAAGCAATAGAGGCATTGGGCTCCTGTTTGTTCTTGCTGCTCGCTGTTTGTGTGTTCTTGCTGCTCGCTATTTGTGTGTTTATCATTTTGCAACGCCACTGGATGTGTAACAGTTGCAAATGGTTTCAGGTTTGCTGCTGCAGCGGCTTTACCTGAAGGTGTTACAGAGTTCATTTCATTCATAATGTGCAAGAGTTGCTTTGAAGCATGAGTTGTGCTTTGAAGCAATGTGACCAAGGGAACTACTGCAGAACTGTACTTGTTGCGAGTAACAAGACGAAGATACACTAGAGAAAGGATCTCTGAAATTACATAAGGATGGAGACAATGGAAGACTCGACAGTATGACATTCAACTGCAGAAAATGCAACTTTACCGTAGCATAATTCTGCAGCTTCTTATGCCTAAACCCACTAAAATTGAACAATCATTCAACTGTTCTCAGTATCCTTCAACTGGACGGCCTGAACCTCAGCTTTCGGGGTTGTCCCACTGTTCTCAGTATCCTTGAACTGTACGGCCTTAGAAAATGCATCTGATATATCGGCCACGGGACCTTGAGCCTTGGTATCCAGCAGCTTCTGAGGATCAGTGCTGGCAGGCTGCTGTTGACGTCTGTTCTCCTGCAAGGCTTTCTCCCGCTGCTCATAGAAGTCGAAATCTTCCAGGATTGTTGTCTCAGCCTCATGGCTCTTGAAGATTGTAAGCATCTAGAGGCCCTGTTCCAGCTTCACCTGTATGTTAAGAGTTGGTGAATTTATTCAGAAATGCCAATCCACAGGAGTATTTGTATATCTAAATATTCGAACAAAACTATGACAAAACCATAAAAATCGACAAAACTCAGGTGCAGAGGTTGGAGTTTTGCAAACATTCCAACACCTTAGCTGTTAAAAAAACTCAAATTCCGATACCGGGATGTCAAGAATCCTACGCTTAATTCTCAATTCCTATCATTCTAGTCCCCAAAGCAGGCCGCACGAACAAATGAACCTAATACCTAGGGTTCTAGCGACAGAAGGTCGGCTGCGGCGGGGGGCGATGTTACCTTGCGCTTGAGGTTGTAGCGGTGCCATTCGGAGCGGTAGTGGAGCTGCTGCTGCTCCTCGTCGTCGAACCCCAGCGTTGCCATTTGGAGCAGGGGGGGTGATCTACAGAAACTATTTCTGTAAGGATTTGAAAAATCTAGAAATAGGTTAGGGGGGTGGGGATGGGGCGGGGAGGGGGGGATAAAGACTAACAGAGGTTTAAAAATGACAAATCCTCATAGACCTTTGGGTGGTATTTAAATGAATATAAGCACTTTTAGCGGTAAAGTCCCAGCTGGGTGATTTTTCAGAGGTAAAACTGAATTTCCTATTTCTAAACTGCATCAGTTCTCAAAGTCACAGGTTGTTACTCAGGATCATGGGCACAAAGATGGCAAAACCTCAATGCCCAATGGAAGTAGTACCAGGAAAAAACTGTGCATATGGAAAAGCTAAAACTTTCCCGATCTAACAATTCAGTTGTAATACCGCCAGTGAACCTTTTCAATAGCGTGTGCCTACTAGACAGTCACTAGTCGTATTCTAAAAGTGCAAATTTAAATTAGGTAAGTGCCTAATTTTTAGTACCAGAGGCAGTATTTTCTTCTGGACTGCACAACCCCACCATTAGCTCCTTTGGGTTGCCGCCCCACAACGGCGGAACAATCGAATCAAAGATGGCTGCCTCATGAGCGTCGCATAGCGCGTTGGCCTCGTCGCACCATTGCCGAGCCTTCTTCAAGAAGTCTGTCTGCGTCTCAACCTGCACAGCCACCCGTAGCCATGGAAAGTTACTAATCTTAATCTGAAGTAGGAAAGGTGGAAGAAGGGGCTGAGCAAGCCAGGCGACCTACTTGTGCGAGGAGGTCGTCGAGGACGGCGACCGAGGAGGAGGCGGCGGCGGCAGCGACGGGATGGGACGAGGAGGAGGCAGCGGCGGCAGCTTCGGGATGGGACAAGGCGGGAGGGGAAGCCGGTGGCTGTGGAGCGGGAAGCGGGGCGAGGAGTTCGGAGGCGAGGGCCTCCTAGCGGGAGAGGTCATGGAGGCGGAGGAGTGCGCGGTGGCGGCGGCATAGGCCGGCAGCCTCGGGGTCGGGGCCTGCCGCTGCTTGCTCCGGCGGGCACGGGCGGGGAGGACTCTCTCTTCTCTCCTTCTCCTTCCGGTGCCGCTTCGCCTTGTATGCGGCGGCGCCTCGGTGGTGAAGAGTTGGGGGAAAGTGGCGGCGGGGCGGGGAAGAAGGGGGAGGAGGAGAAGTAGGAGAGGGCGAGGCGGCCGTGTTTGTTCCACTTCTGGGCCGGCCCGTTAACAAAGTGTGTTGATTGTTCCACTTCTGTTGCCAAAGCTTGGTTCTTTAGTGCCACCTCGCCAATTCGGAGATGCAAAACTCAGCTTAAAAGCTGAAGCCGCCAAACCACACTGAACTTCTCATATCAAGCGCTATTCCGAAATTGTTACCCTTCTGGGCTAGTTGAGGCCGGTAGCTTTGCTGGGCTCCCCGTAGGGGTTGAGCTTGGCGCGGCCGCTGGTCCTTGGCTGGCCCACTGAAGTACCAACTTTTTTGTTTTCTAATTCTATGCTAGTCGTTCCAACTTAATTTTTTTTAAAACATATTTCTATCGTGTCCAGCTAGTAACTAAATATCATATTCCATTTTTTCCTAATTCTATTATAATCATTCCTACTGACTTTATTTTAAAAAAAACATATTTATATCATGTCCAACTAGTAAATAAGTATAAAACTCCTTTTTTCCAAATTCTATGCTAATCATTGCAACTAAATTTATTTTTTTGAAAACATATTTGTATCCTGTCCAACTAGTAACTACGAATCATATTCCGTTTAGTGGCATATCGTTTTGACTATCTTCCTATGTCAGTGATGTCGTACCGAGCGTGCCACGTCGCCTAGATATGTGATATGCTCCTTTCGAGTGTTGTCTTATGTCATCGAGTGCCTAGCTCATCGTCTCCAACTAGTCACAATTTGTCCCATTTCATTCCATGTCTAACATTGTTGTGGTGTAGTACTCAGTGTGCCATGTCGACTAGATATGTGTTCTGGACCTTTCAAGTTCTATGTCTTATGCCATTGAGTGCCTACCTCATCGTGTCCAACGAGTGCCACATCTTTGACTATGTTAGGTAGATGTTGTGTCATATGTAGCTAGGATGCCACGTCGAACAACAACTTGATATGTAGTCTCATCCTCTCGAGTGCCATGTCATATGCTACCAAGTGCGATGTCGTATGCCACCAAGTGCCTCATCATGATCATAGGGGCACGTCATTGCCTATGCCTCATCCATTGAGTGGCACGTCATTGCCTACTTCTAGTGCTACTACTACTTCTACAGTGGTGTTGGTACCCACGGCGAAACCTTATAGGGGGTGTAAAACAGGCTTGGAGGACTTTGTAATGGGCTTGTAGTGTGACCCCGCGAAGCACCTAGGTATCATCGGTTCCTCCCCCCGTACCTGCCTATTCGTTTCCCCTCATAAAAATTAGATCGCGATCCATCCAGGAGCCCCCGACGCCGCCTCCATGAGGACTTTGTAATGGATCACTGTTTAAGAAAAAGAAAAAGGGGTTAACAGAGTTTTGATCTTGCCATATGTTCTGTCACAAATTTATAATTTTCTTTTTACTTATAACATAAGTATAAACATTGTTTCCGGTGTAGAAATAAAAACACCTATAGTCTGGACAAAAAGCTTGTTGAGTTGCTTAGTGGCTTCTTACAAAAATGCTCTGATTATATTCGTTTTTCTTTCAAAATCAAATTTAGCTAATTTTGAATGATTTTTTAATTTTGACTCGGCTCGTTAAGCTTGCTATGACATTGCATCGCAAACAAATCCATAGACTATAATAAATAATAATCTTCTCATGCCAATGTGAGTGTACTCGTACATGTGCTTGTACCGGTTCATGATTGTATTTTTTGCATTTGGCAATTTCAAAGAGACATTCTTGTCTGGTTCTATTTTTTCTGCTAAGTTTGCATAACTAGAAAAGATCAAGTAAATTTAGCATTAAATAAAAAGAACAACTGATATAATCATATAACACCAAACGCCATTTTTTTCAACTTCTACAGACATGTCTTGCAAGCCCTATTGTGTGTGAGCGTGCCTCCTTTTGTTTGGCATACCAAAAAATTCGCTCCTCTCCCGCCTGTATCTCCTCCTCGCTGAGGTCAAAAATCTCCACAAAAATCTTCAACTGCCGCGCCTAAATCTTTTCGCACCCGCCCAATCTCCCTGAGCCAAATCCACCGGCGGTGGCCTATTGCCGCCCCTCTGGCCTCTACAACTCCCCTCCCCCACGCCTCCTGCTGCGGCCCCTCTGCGACGCCCCTGCCTTGCCGTTCCACGACGTCCCTGCATGCCCCGGCCCCTCCGCGACGGACCTCTTGAAAGCATCAAGCTGCGATGCACAGCACCAGCATGGCAGCAGGAAGCCATCCCCCATCCAAGTAAGACCCTTCCCCATTGACATACCCTCCTCCCTTCCCCCGTCTCCCATCTGCCTTCCTGAGTTGCCCAGATCCCCTCCCCTTCCTATCGACCCCTCCCTCTCCCATCGGCCCGGTCTACAGAGTGAGAAATCAACCAAGCCGATTATGGCCACTTGTTGTTTGCTGATTTATCGACCTCTTTTTCACAGGGCGTGCTGAGCGGTGGCTCTGAGATCGCGATCCGTCTCCCATCTCCAGTCTCCACACCGCGCGTATCCCTCCCCCTCCCCCAATTAGATCGCGATCCGTCTCCCAAGACCGCGTGAGGGCCATGACGCCGCCACCTACGCCACCTCGGTCCAGGATGCCCCCGACATCGGCTCCGTTGAGGACGCCACTGGCAACGCCTTCAGGCAGGACGGCGCTTCGTTCGCAGGGCATCAGCGCCAGCACAGACTCCACCGCCTTGGGTACCCATCGCCATCGATATACTGAGGCCACCCTTGAAGTAGAAGATGATCTTGGGTTCTCTTCTCCATATGTCCCTAGGTACAATGATTACTTAATCTAGGTTTTTTGATTCATATTTAATCTCGCATCATAGCAAATTCTACAAATTGTGAGGGGTTTAGGGTTTTCAAGCATTTGCTGCTTGCATATTTTGGTCATGATAAAAAAAAGATGTTTAAGAAAAGGCAATTACTTGCTCGGTATTTGTTTTGCTTGTCTGAAATTACAGAAAGTAAACCCGTCTGTTTTGATTCAAGAATACAAAGTCTGAGATCGTTTTCTATGCTTAAATATCAATGTTTAACTACACAAAAATGTATGGATGTAGTTAACCTTTTTCTGTATCAGCCATTGAATTTCTCATGTTGCATGTGCCTGCTCTATAATGGGATTACAGAAACCATCTAAAATAGAATCCTGAATTCAATGATATTTAGTTCAATTACTTATATATATGTAATACTTTACCTTTTTTATTCTTGTTTATTTATGAACCATTGTCCTATTTATGCAGTGGCACGGGCGAAATGTGGACTCTTTATGTTCATTGCAAGAATGGACTTCTAGATCAGGATTATGTAATGTTCAAATTGGAAAGGCCTCATATAAAATTGCCAACCTTGACATCTCTTAAGGACCAGCTTGGGTATAATGCCCGGGACTTCATGTACTACAAGAAACGTTGTGGAAGAGATGTTGCAAGTCTTCAGCCCCTCGATTTTGTCAGACATGCAGAGATTATGCTACAAGACAATGAGAGTGAGAAGGAAATCAGATTAGTACTCTCAAAGGAACAAGAGACAGCACAGCAAGTCAGCATAACACCCCTCAAGCGACCAAGGCAGCAGCTGGAAGAAGATGAGCATCCGTTTATGGATGATCCTTTTGATGCATACAAGGACTGGCTAAAGAAGCGACGACCGGTACAATCCAAAAGTATATCATCTATGTTTTTGCATATGTTTTCGTATTAAGTAAAATCTTAGCAGCTTTATATAAACTACACCTCATCTTACATTTTTTTTGGTGACTAACAGATTTGAAGGATGACACTAGGCAACAAGCAGTCAACACGTACAAGGAATTTTTAAGGATGAAAGGGGACATTCTAGAAATTAGTAATTTATTTTCC